TTCGCTCAGCTTTCCTTTCTCCCCTTCACTTCCCCTCCTCCTCCTCCACCATCACCACCACCTCCTCCTCAACCATTTTTCCCAGCAAAAATTCTTCGACATTCAAAACTGCACACAAAATCACACTAAACAGCAATGCAATAAGCATTTCAAAATTTATGGAACACTGAAAAAAATTTAAACTGAAAGAAAACAAATATATTAAGGCTTTTGAAGACGTGAAAAGCGAAACCAAAAAAAAAAAAAGAAAAAAACAGAAGTTTAAGTCAAAATTTATAATTTGATAAAAAAAAAAAAGCTTTAGACAATAAGGTTTTTTTTGGCTGATTGTTTTTTTTCATCAGAATTTTGGTTTTTTATCTACAAACAGCTGTCACGAAGGTTTTTTTTTTGCTTTCCTCTACAGCTGTCACCCAAAAATTACTATAACTTTCTGATTTCTGTTTTTACAGTTTCTGTTTTTTTTTTTTTGCTCTAAATTTTTTTTTTAAAAACCTATTCATCAATTTTTGATCATTTTTTTTTTTTTTTTTTGCATAAATTACTACACAAACACACAAAATGTATTCTGCCAGTATCATAGCTTTTCAAACGGTAAATTTTTGTTTAAAAAAAAAATGAAAAATAAAATTTTTTAGTTTTTTTTTTACTTAACAAAAAGAAAAAAAATTTTTTTGTTTATTTAAAAAAAAATAGAAAACATTTTTACTACTGTTTAGTAATAATAATGTTTTACTGCTGATTTAATGACTGAAAAGAAGGTTCAAATTAAGGGGGTTCTTCTTCTGCAAAACTGTTGACTACATACAAATCATAGAATGCCAACAACAGCAGCAGCAGCAGCAACAGCCCAAATATCAACCTAAATGTACCACCACAAATTTGAACTACGGATACTATCAAAAAGTGGAAATTTTGTACAAAACAGAAAGAAAAAAAATTACAATAAATAAAATTTTCTGAAAAAAAAAAATAAATTTCAATGTATATTTCTTTGATAAATGAAAAAAAAAAAAAGGATAATTTGAACACAAAACAGTTACATTTTGTTGTCGCAACTTTCAATGACAGAATTTCGATGCCAATTAACCTTCAACTTAATCAGCGTATAACAAACCACAACTAACAACAACAACAACAACAACAACTTTTTACAGTTACAGAAGGTTCAGAAACCTCTTTTAAAAAGTATCTTAAAAAATTAACATCAATTAAATCACCTGAAATTTGTTGTTGATCAATTTTTTTTTTTTTTGTTTTACACCCAGAAATCTTCTGAACTGTAACACCACTTTTAACACGGAGATTATTTCAAAACGTTATGTTGACCAGATTTTTTTCCTCTTCAACTAATTGAAACATAACATAAAACAATTGATAAAAAATTTTGGTACACAAAAAAAAAAGCAGAAGAAAAACAACAACAAAACTGAACAGTTTTTTTTAGCCAATCCTAAAAAAAAAACAGTCTTCTTCTCACCTTTTTTCTGTCTATTTTTTGTTCGTAAGATTAAGTGCAGTTTTTTAAGTGCTAAAGAAGAAGATGATGAAAATAAGAAAAAAAAAACAGGTAGTGAAGTGAAAAATGTAAAGAAAAAAAATTGATGACAAATATTGACGATGTTTTGATGATATAACAGAGAAAGTAAATGAAAAAAAAAAAAAAAATCCACTTAATTTTTAGAATAAAAAAAAAAAACAAAATTGCTGTTATATTAATTAATAAAACTAATAGACCAAATTTAACATTTTAAAATATAATTTATTTTAGATTTAAAATCTGTCTGAAGTGCACAATGTTTATTTACACCAAAAGAAAGAAAAAAAATTGCAATAAAATAAATATAAAGTAGTTTTTTTTTCCTTCCTCCTTTTTTTTCCTTTGTTTTGTTTTGTTTTACTTTACCCAAAATAAAGATAGTAATGTCTAATTTTTTGACACTTTTTGTTAACTAAAACTCTCGTAACTTAAACCTCATCGATTGTCATTCTTTGTGCTGCTCATCCACTACTTCAAACCTAATTGATTGTATAAAAAACGATCAAATGTCAATCAGTAAGTTCAATACAGTTTAAGACAACAACAACGAAAATAAAAACGGAAGGAAAAGCAGCAAACTTAACCGTCCTTTCAAATTTTTTTTTTTTTGTTGTCACTGCATAACTTTTTTTTTAAAAATTCTCTTTTAAGACTGCTCAGATACTAAAGAAACGATCGATGTTGTACAATGATTATAGATTTCAATTGAATAATCAAAATGTCAATAATACATCGAACTTATGAAGTATTTAACAAAAAAAACCGAAACTTTAGAAAAAGTTTTCACCAATTTTTCTCAACAGTTTTTTTTTGTAAGACACATCCATTGATATACTTCAAAATTTTCAATTGATTTCACTG